TCGTTAAAAAGGTCAAATACACTCAAATAGGTCACATAGAAGTAATTACTTAGGTCTAGTACTGAAAGTCTTGTATGAAAAAGAACTGTTTGAATGTTTAATAATCCTATATGGATTATTAAACATTCAAACTGTACTATAGTTAATTTGATTACATTAGACTGGCACAGTGACTCACTGAACAGGGAATTCCTCTAATTATCGCCGCAACGTAGCTCGATGTTGCTCGATTAACTGAAATACTGGGGTAGCTAGTTACGCTTATATACCAACATCAATATGAATATACATATTTTATGTCAACTAATGCATTGGTTTTGGTTACACAAACTATAACTTATGTATATATGTGGTTATAACTAAAACGCCTGTTCAATAGCTCTTTGTTTGTTAAAAGAGAATTGAAGAAACAAAGAGTTTTAAACAAATCTTTGCAGTGAAAAGTAAGGTACTCCATATTGACACGTGTTATGAAGAGAGTGATTTTCTGAAAATGTATTGAAAAATAAAAAAGCGTAAATTTTATTTTTCTTTATAAGATATGTGCAATGATCAAAGGACATACGAGACATAACATTTAGTGCCCCTGATTACGTTTACTTTGTCTTTAAAGATCTTTTCGATGTCTTTTATTAAGTTCTTCACTTTTAAGTCTTGAAAGTGTGTTAGATGAATTGCAATCATCGAATCATCTTTTAGATATCAGAACAGCCCCCTTAACAAAGTGTACTCGTTTAGATGCGATTCAAAAATTTATCGAACTGATACGTGACAATCACGTGACTTATCGAAAGTTCAATACATTTTTTTGTGGAATTTGGTTGTCGATTCGCTACGGAGCGAATGCACTATGTCTAGATGGCCAGTAGCTTTAAAAAGTTTGTTATAAATTGGCTGTTAACTGAATGATATTTTATTGGTATTGTGTAGAAAGCAAAAACAGGATAAAAGAAAGTGTGGACCAATAAATGTAAAGTATACCGATTTGAGTTAATTTCACGGTTATCGAGTATTGAAAATAAAACGTGATAACGATATTGGTTTGCAGCTTCGCAATTCAGCAGGCGTTTTTTCGCTACTGTAACATAAAAAGTACATAAAGCAGAGAAATACAATAAATTCATAAAAAATATCCGCAACATTAGCACCACTTTATTCCAATGTGAGTGAATTGACAAACAAAAAATAAAGGCCTTAATTGTATATTTAGAACTAGCTGTTGCCCGCGAATCTGTCCGCGCGTAATTAACAAAAAACTTAATAAGTAGCCCATGTGTTCTTCCAGACAATGTTATACATCTGTAACATTTCAGCTAGATCCGTTCAGGCGTTTCGGAGATACTTTCTAACAAACATACACACAATATTAGTATGAAGTAAGATGGAGAATTTTTTTCTAGAATGTTCTTAAATATCGAATACATATTTAGCATTCTATTTGTTTTACGGATAAGTAAGTTTCTTAACGATGTTTAAACTCGTCGTTGTGCAGAGTCAACATGGGAACTTGAAAGCGTCTTAATTATAGCATCTTGGATAATATTTGCACTTAAATTCGCGATTCTTTTAAAAATGTAATAATTTATAACAGTTGTGAAAACAGAACAGGAATAGACGGACTATAAGTATTTCGTTGTATTACCGTGGGTTTCTGATACCAAAATTCCACCGATAAAAATATATGTTATTCATGTTTTATCAAAGGTAATGACAATGATGACGATATGTTTTAAACAGATATTTTGGTCTCAGAAACCAATGCTTAGTAACAACATAGTTTAGGACAAAACTAGAGATATTTGAACAAATCTAACTGCCAATATATCAGCTTGAAGCTATGTTGTTTAAAATATGTTATTTCTGTGTAGCATTATAGTTAAAAAGATTAAAATAATAGTTGAATATATTCAGTCTATAGTAGTCAAGGAAAGCCTAAAGTAACAGACACAACAGAAATTCAAATAGAATTTAAAAGGAAGACACTACTTCGTCTGGCAAGAATATATCACACGAACAATGAAAAAAGAATCTGTCGCAAGCAACCATAGCTTCACTTTATTTAATGTATTTAGGGCAATCGAACACGTAGATTTATTATCTTTTCAATTATTTTTTTGTTTGGTTATTATATGTTTAACAATAAGACAGAATTTTTAATCTGTTTTTAATAAAGAAATATTTTATCACTTAAATTTCTGTTGACACTAATGTGAAGGAACTTTTACGAAGACGTATACCAAGTTATATAATTTATAAATATTTCAGTGATTTTTTTTTAGTTTGAATTAATATTCATTTATTTTTAAAATGTATAGGGTTACCTTATTAATTTAAAAGAACTCGATGCTTTTCACTAAAATGAAATAATTTCGCCGTGTGGAAGAAGCCTTAGGTGAGATCGGGATTTTCTGATTTTAGGTAGGATTTTCTCGACCTTATCTGTGTCGATGTGAGTTTTCTTTACTCGGGCCTTTGTTTATTCTGTTCGAAAAGAGATTTCTGGGGAAAATACTAGACTATTTTTTGAATTTCGGAGTTTTTAGTACGAACTGTATTGCTTGTTTGATTTTTGTGAATATATGAATTTCATTGCAGCTAAAATGGGAAAAATATGTTAACAACTATCTTTGTATAATAACATATATATTTTTTATTTTATAAAAGAGTAAAAGTGATAGCTGTTTCGTTTGTTCCTAGAAAAATATGTAGATATAAAATGAACGTTTTACATTTCCCAAAAAATGTCACCAAGAATTCGATGAAAAATATTTATTTATGCTTATAAGTTAATATTAAGTACGGAAAGCTAACATAATACGTCTCAGATATACCAACCTAAATCAAACAAACATTGTTTTGATAAGGGAGAAATTCAAAGCCGACTGAATGATAAACCGCGTAACAAAAGTATCGACTCTCAATACTGGGAAAAGCGTCGGGTAGGAGGGAATGAACCCGGGTAAATCCCGGCTTACGACCCGCCTCGCAACCCCTGTCGCTGTCCGGAGACAGATAGCTCACCTATTCCTTTCGACAATTGCTTCTTTTCAAGCCTAGAGGTATATACTTTATTCCTTTACTTTATTATAGTAGCTCAGAGTTATATACGGAGAGTTTTAGAAGCATAATGTGGTTTATACGATCAACGGCAAACACTTTGAACTAACTAGTATAAACAAGATTTCATATACTTTTACATTTCTATTACTCCTAATTCTCGTCTTATGCGAGATAATATTCGAATTTTTGTAATATAGAATATTCTGTTTCAATAGCGTATGTACAGTCAGCTGCATGAATATGTATACTATCACAATATATTAGAAACCTGTACAGGCCTCGGTTTAAAAAAATATGCATGCAAGTTTCCAATAATATAATGTATTATGTATTCGAAAGCATATGGACGAAAACGTGCATACATTTTTTTAAACAAATTCTTGTAAATGTTTCTAATCTTTTGTTAATATTTATGGATCTGACTGTACCACTCTTATATCACCTGATTCTGTCTTTCAAAAGCACTTGCTACATTTAACGATAAGGAGTCTAACTAAATGCTAGTTTATTTAGAGATATTAAACTAAAATATAACCGTAATTGAAACTAATAGATGTAAATTAAAAACGAAACGTATAGTTTAGTACAAAATGTGTTTTTTGAGTAAAGTATTGCATTATAATTTAATGTACATGCGTATACTTTTTATTAAAGGAAATGATACTTTGCAATTGTTCTCGTATAGCATGAACACGAAGGGGGATGTGGTAATGTACACGATAAATCTAAATTAAAATAATTATTTAACCCTTTCCACAAACACCGCGCCCATTGCTTTGCCCAGGTTTTAAATTGATTGACTTCATTAATTCTACCGAAGCATAACAAATTCATTTATGTATGAATAATGTAGTTCTTAAGTACACTAAAATATACCTAATGTGTACAAAATACATTCTTAATGGCTATATACATATTCACTTTTTCTTGATTAAATTTTGTACTTGAAAAAATATCAAACAAAATGCTTGATAATTAGGGAATGATTACATTGTATTTAAGTTACAATAGTAACCTATTTTGTGACGAAAAAATCTTACTAATATTATAAATGTGAATGTTTGCATGGATGGATGTTTGTTTGAAGGTATTTCGAGAACGGCTGTATAGATATCGCTAAAATTTGGTATAGATGTAGAACATAATCTGGGAAAACAGATAAGCTTCTAATTAAGTTCATTTTTGTTTCCGCGCGATCAGAGTCGCGACAGCTAGTCTGTGATAAATTTATTTCCATCGAAAATTAAAATGAAACAATAATTTCTACAAAGAAAGTGTAAGGGAGTTGTCGTCGTGATCCTTTCGTATAAAACTTTGGAAATTTTTGTTACATTGTTTTAAGTTTATTAAATATTGGATCTTTAAAAGTGTCAGGGAAAAGTTTTAAAATGTTCCCTGTAGAAGCTGAATGACAAGCTATTAATCATTCTGTCCGCAAAAATAAAATGTTAAAAGAAAAAAAAATCAGGCCTCGAATTTCCTGGAAAGTTAAATTAAAAATTATGTTATGTATACATATAACATGATCATATAAGTACAAAAACAAAAAAAAGTACGTGTTATTATTTACATATATATAATTACGATTAAGTTTTAATCGTGAATGTATTAATACCCCGTAAATTATTTCTTAAAAGTAAGTTTATGTATTTAGTACAAACCAAGTATAAAGATTACTCGTCTACAAACTTACAATTTATTGTCGCTAATTATTTTGTTGACAACACGTCTTATTAGAAAAGGAAACAATACACAACAACATCCATTGTTTTCAAACAATACAGACCGACAAAATCGATAAAATAATCAAACATAATAAACAAAATACAAAAATCACCATCAGATAAAATTAACGAGCTATTAAAATTTAATATAATTTAGCATAAGATAAAGTAATAGATGGAATTAATTTTTGTATTCATACAGAATTGTGTCGACTATCGCATGTTGAGGTTATCACAATATACATTTGACAGTTGTCGTCGGTCATTCGTCGAGTTCGCAACGCATAGAATTAAACTTCATAGTGAGAAATGTTAACGGTATGCGGTTATTTGTGTTTATATTGATCAGTTTAACTGTTTGTACTATAGTCTTGTGTTCCGATATGATTGTGGGTGATACCGTACACAGGAAAATGGTGTTCCACCAAAGGGTCAAGGAATTTCCGATACCGTTTAAAAAGCGAATAAAATCATTGTCGTATAGTGATCCTGAGAAACGTATTATCAAGGTAAGTTTTTTTATTTATAGTATTGACTTTTTAATAATTTAATTTAACATACAATCTATCCCTTAGTTCCTTATTTGTCTTGTTTAGTTACCTATTGATTCTTTGCCAACTTATTTACAATCTTTGTTATAGCTTACGTCATGGCAAAAAAGAATTTCAATTTCCAATTATGCACACTTAAGCAAGATAAAATAACATAACTCACGGTTTAATTTTTTTTTACTATACCTAAAATGTTAAACCTTGTAGGAAGAGAATTTTTTTCTACTTACGTCATAAGGAAAACTAACTTATAAAACAGTTGAATTGCAACGCTCCTCGTGTCTTTTGTTTTCGGCGTTTATTTACCCGTTAAGTCATCGTTTAAAATGGGATTTACCACTGAATATTAACTGGAAATTCTCAAGATCTTTTATAATTAAAACAAACATGCCATATTTAAAGTTAAATATACGACAAAGTAACTAATTATGTATTTACATAGTTATTACAATGATAGTAAACGAATATACATGGTTCATTTTTGCTTTAACTTTTTGTGATTTGCAAATTAGGATTAATGTGAATGGTATGAACCAGAAAAACATTTTTGTCCAAAAAACGTTGTTGGGCAAAAAATCCAACGACGAATAATCGTTTTAAGATGTATAATATTTTTGTATCAAGAAAAGTTTAGTTTAAACGATTTCTTCAAAAAATTACGTTACTCATTTCTGTGTATAACAAAAAGCTAGAATATTCGAGAAAGTTCTAAAAGTAGTTAATTAGATATTTATTTTCTTATTTTTATTCGACTATTTTCATTGTACATGCTAATATTTCTATAAATAGTGCGAAAGATATATTTAAAAAAAGCCTATTTGTGTTGTAATACGACAGAAAATTATCAATATTTAGTTTGATTTAATTTTTATATTAGCTAATAATTTAATAATACCGCGTATACTACAATAACAAGATTTGTTGACCTTCTCCGTCCGCAAATGACATTTGCAAATAGCAGTTTTGATGATATAAGACGATTTAATTGCAAACGCAAAGTCACGTTCCTTTTTATTATTCGTATACATTCGAATTTACAACCACGATATGAATCGTAATACTCATTGTTTGAAAATTGCCGGACGTTTTGTTAAATTACAATCAATTTACACATATATTTTATTAAAAACTATTTAAAAGGCACTTTTATACTGCTAGCTATCGCCCGCGACGCTGTCCTGTCTGTACGGTATGAAAAAAAAACTTAATAAGTTAGGGAATTTCATTGAGATCCATGCAGCGCTGCTGGAGATACCTTCAAACAAACATCCATCCATCCATTTAACCATAGTGACATTTACAATATTAATACAACATTTAAAGATAAACCGTGGGTTTCTGACATCAAAATCTCTGTATAAAATATATCGGCATCTGTGTCTTTCATCACTGATAAAACAGAGATAACAACATGTTTTAAACGGGGATATTGGTCTTGACAAGATTTCATTGGATTATTCTTCTTAGTGTAACATCAGGGTCGGACTTTTTTTTAATTGTTGGTTACTTTCAGGGTGTTGCCGCAATCGACAATGATTTCTCTCACGCGAGCGCCAATATTACTGAAGGAGGAGTGGGTTATTCTTACGTCACAGTTAGAATGAAGAGCCAAAGACATCACCCGCTAAACTTCGAAGTAGAAATATATGTCTAGTCAAAGAGATATAGTTGAAAACCGTCCACGTAAATACAAATTTACGAAAACAATAATTACATCGCACGCTTCGGTAATTACATTTGCGACAATATTTGCATTTAATAGTCACTTCACTTTTTACAATCTACACTAAAGTACTGGCAGTAAATTATTAAAATTATTTGAAAATATGACGTAAGAATGAGTGATTAAAAAACTAATATAACAAAGCAAATGTTGACACATCTGTCTACTCCAACAATGATATCGACTAAAATTATTAATAAATTCATATCAAATGTCTATACATATATTTAAATACGTTATGAGTGTTTGTTTAGAAGTAAGTTTGTTAAAAATCAATTTGGGATGCTATTTATAGTGCATTATGATTCTGTTAAGAAAGTAGAAATGTACACCAATTTACGTTTCTTGATAAAAGTGCGTTATTCTTTTGTTTTTTCTAATCTTAAATATAAAATTGTTTTGTAAATCTTCGCAAATAATTTACACTGCTGTAACAAGCACAGTTTTATTTCGCAACAAATAATGATAATCTTTAAACTCGAAAATGATAAAATATATTTTTCACGGCATAAATATTCTTTATATCAGTAAAGTTTTCGTTTATTTAAATTGCAGACACAAGTATACTTCAAAAGTTTCTCTAAATTCTATTCGTTTGAATTTGCTCTCTTTACAATATTCTGGGTTATGAGTTATTTATTTTTACTTTAACATGATTGTGTTATTCAAACTTTCGTGAGACATTATAATAAACTTATATAAAAACGGCTAAACAATCACGTATATTCGTCCGGTGGCGGCAACGACTAGTTTGGAGCCCATCGGGGGCCCTTCATCAGGGTGAGTGGAACTCAGTGAGCGACGGGCCGCGTCTGCGAAATAATACCAGTACCACTCATCCTGATGAAGGGCCCCAGATGGGCTCGAAACTAGTCGATGCCGCCACCGGACGAATGTACGTGTTTAACCGTTTTTATATAAGTTTAACATTATTGTGTTAAAAGGGAAATACATATAATATGTATCTACATCGGATATAGTGAGATAAATATGCAACAACCATGTAGTCACGTAGGCGCTATGTAACTAGGCTAAGCATTATCAATACTCAATTTACATAAGCTGTTAAACACAAAATGATTAATCATCAGAACACGAAAATATTTAAGGTATTTATTTTATTAAAAAATATATGAATTTTGTTTTTTTTTTTACTTTTTACATATTAATTGGTATTGGGTATATTTTTATAAATATCAAAGAAAGTTTGTATGTTTTTTTTTTCAATGTCAACCTTTTTGTGAGATTTTTTTTTAATATAAAAACACATCTTTTTAATTATCAATAAGACAAAATCAATTCGTTAAGATATCTTTTAATCTTACACATTTACTTTATGAAAATATGAATATTAAAAAAGATATTGATAGAATAGATATTTTATTATAAAACAACAGTAGTTTGCTTTGAAACATTTTATATTTTGCTGTTTAAGTGGCCTGTTAGAAACATTTATATAATAAACTAAGTTCATCCTATTCTAAGCTTTTAAAATAGTACAACTTTTATCTGAATCAAACTGTAAAATATTAGTATACCAAATACACAATTATATTAACAAACTAACTAAGATAATGATAAAGTAAACCAAATAATGTTATTACTAAATTCGCCTAAGGTTTCACTCGGACCGGGATGCCTGTTAGTCTTCATCTTGATAAAAAAAGACGCATCTTTGGTTTCAACTTAGGAAGCTCAATTTTCGCAATGTTGCTCTGCTCTCCGCCCCGGACTGTCTGAAAATAACTTCTGATCTATATTAATTATTTTAGAAATAGCTTTACCAAAAAATAATCATAGTAAGAAAAGGATCTGAAATTTTCATGATGTATGATGTACATTTTTTCTATACATACTACGAGATTAATAAAATCGAATGAAAATGTTACGGATATAAATCACTGTAATTGTTATGAATTTGTACATAAGTTAAGTTTGTATTACTTGTAGTTATCGAAATAAACAGCTTTTTATTCATTAATTGATTGTCTGTTGTATTCCTACCTTAATAACCTAACCTTTATTTAAAAAAAATCCTACTTACTAAGAGTCTATTGGTTGGTTCAGCGCCATCTATTCGCTACATTATAAAACACAATTAAAATAAATATATATATATTTAATTTGAACTAATTTTTTTTATATCATAATGTGGCAAACGAGCGAGCGGCCACCTGAAATCGCTGAAATAGCAAAGTGACCGTTGCCCATAGACATACGCAATGGCATATGCGTTGCCTACCTAATCGACGGAGGAGAGGATGCACAGAAAGAAAGTATCTTCCCTTTCCATGCATCCTCTCCTCCGGAAAGTCCACTTCCACTTCCCATCCTTTCCTTATAAGAAAAAGGTTTGGAAGGGAAAGAGGACTAAATTAGGCCTCAAGGACGCACGCTCACCAGACGAAACGCGGAATAGCTTCCACTTCACGCCTGTCTTCTGTGTGGTCGTGGTATGTCACCGGGCGAACCGGGCATATTCGTGCGAAAATGTTAAAGCGGGCTCTACCACTGTTAAGTTATTGTTGTACTTTAATGTAATGTGGAGTAAGCAAAAAAAAAATTAGTAGACTGTAAAAAAATACGGTGAGTGAGACTCGAACTCGTTATTCACTAATTAAATATGTTAGGATAACAATCAAGAACAAAGGGTAATAGAATGAAAGACTTAATTTAATGTTAAACATTTCGCCTTGGCACACAGTCGTATATTTATCTTTAGCGAAGGAAACTGGTTCTCTAATTATAGGTAATTAGGACTTCTTATCTGGAATGCATAATGTCAATATGTCGCAGGAATTCAAGTTGATTCCTAATAAAATTTCTATTGATAATACCAAATACGTATTACTTTAAGTGTTGTAAGGATGAGTGCTAATATTAGATTAGTGGTTGTTATAAAATCAACTTACCGTGGGTTTCTGACATTAAAATATATCTTCATCAAGATAACCATATGTTTTTAACGGTGATTTTTGATTCAGAAACCCAAGGTTACTTAATCAACATTTACAGAGTATCAGTTGTATTACTCTGTGTCGTATTTATCGCTCTTCTTCTGAAACCCAACTAATATCCGAACTTCTCGCGACGAACAAAAAATATTCATTCGGATTTTCGACGTAAAACAGCATACGATGTGAAGTTTTTGCAGAAAAGGTCGAAAATAAATCACAACCGGCGCCAGTGGGCGACCGGAGCGTGCGAATTGGAAATGGCAGAAGAAAATCGAATGCATGGACATTCGGAATTTTATTTTATCTACGGAAAATAAACTTTTTTGGGTAAAAGTTTTGAAACATTACACTGCATCTAATAGTGTTTTTTTTGTAGCTAGCTGTCACCCGCGACTCTATCCGCGCTTAGATTAAAAAAAGATTTAATAAGTATGTTTTCTTCCAGACTTTGTACTACATCCACACATGTCATCAAGATCCATTGAACCTTAGAAATACCTTCATCCATCTAAAATTTCGCATATTATTAGTAAAAGTTGCACTTTACAAATTACTGTGAATATTATATCTTATATCTTTAAATGAGCAATTCTTGCATATTTATGTATATAATTGGAATCTCGGAATCGGCTCCAAAGATTTTCATAAAATTTAGTATATAGGGGGTTTCGGGGGCGATAGATCGATCTAGCTAGGAATCATTTTTAGAAAACGTCATTTTATCGATAATCAACTTAAACATAAACTTAACTTTTTCTATCGGTAAGATCGAAAAATATTATTCATATTTCATCATTTTATTAGTAATTCGTACTTAAATATAATTTCCAAAAAAAAACAATTTAAAAAATACCGAGCAAAGCTCCGTCATCCATGTACTTCTATAAATTATCCACTACTGTTTATCACATGCAATTAAAATATAACAGTATTACTTCAGTAATTTGTTACGCGAATGATACTCGTAATATTTGATTTTCGTATTGAGTCGCAGTTTTAACTTATACTTTTAAGTTGCTTTCTATAAAAATACAATCTTCGATACAATCGATACGAATCGCAACAAGAGATCAGCTTTCAAGTTGTTTGAATGGAATTCAGAAAACCAGACAAAGTTCTCTCGCATTGTTGTTGAATCTTTATTCGCAAACAGAGGGAAATTTTCTTAGCGTAAAAGTCGTTTCTTCAAATTTATACTTGTAATAGTATATCTTAAGTTGAAGAAAATTGACAAAGTAAAGATTTTCGTTTGTAATTAATTAAATTCACTATTTTTTTTTTACATTTTTAGGTGAAGAGAAACCTATTTTGTTTTTGATTCACAATTGCCCTACGCAACAACGGCAACGAATATCAATGTTCACTTTTCGTAGCATAAAATATAATAAATAAAAACAAAAGAATGTATTCATAACCCAAACCCGTCGTCATTTTCCGCTTGTCTAAATTCCCCCTTTAACTTTCACGTAGAAATTCTTGAACAAAATATACGTTCACCTAACCACGGGAAATGTTTTCGACAACGCCACGTCGAAAGTTCCTACAGGCCCAGGGGATAAACAAAAAGGGGTAGGCGCTTTCCACGGCCTTTCGTTATTAATGTAATAACTGACACTTTGTTTTATGAGACTTCCCACTTTACTAGTTTGTTCACGTCTACTAACGCCTGCGACGCGACGAAAGATGTTTTCCACTTTATGAATTTTGAAACACAGATTATTGAACGTTAACGAAGTTTGATGGACAATTTTAAGTCTACGAATGTTTAATGCGTCAAAACCAGATGCTTAAAATACCCAATGCTTCTGATAAAGTGAAAATTGTACTTAAAAAAATTACTTAATAGGTAACAAATATTATGTAACTTAAAGTTAACGATGAAACTTAATACAACAAAATTTTATGAACCATAAAAGTATTAGAGACTGCGGAATAAAGTACTTTTATCTGCACAGCTGTTGCCGTTTGAATTTTAAAAACTGAAACGTTCAAGTCGCAAAATTTTAAAAGTAAGCTTCGACGGGAACGTATTTTAAAAAACAAAAGCCAACTCGACGTTTCAGGAAGGCACGTAGCTAGAAGCTCCAATCGGAGCCCGAACTGTCGTCGACATCCGATATCAGCAGAACGTTACGGACATTCAAGAATTTCCAATAACACCCGCTTCTTACCAGATACACCCAGGTAATACTGCTTTAAAGCAATAACAATAAAGTTTAAAATTGATTGTAACATTAAACGAGATATGCAAATCACAAGTTGGCAAAAGATTCAAGATGCCATAAAGGTAAATTCGAAAGAGTTTCTATATTGCTACGTTAAGTATACTACGTAGACTTTATTTGTTTCTTAAATGCTATTTGAGTGATTAAACAGTTGTTAGTTCTAAATATAAATAGGTGCCTTAACCCTTACTGCGATGTAGTAGACGTTTAAAAAAAGAAATCGAAAGCCGAAATATTCCAACTCTTGTATTCATATTTGATGTACCATGAATGAAGACGGCCAGGGGTGACGGTATTGAAAGGAAAGTCATTAACCCACTTCGCCGTTCGTATTTTTAGCCCAGCCTGCTTAATAATAGTTTATGCTATCGCGCCGTTCAACTTTTCCTTGCCTATAAACAAACCAAACAAAGGAAGTCGGTGTCGTTAAGGGCGTGACTCAACAGGCCAAGTTCTGACAGCTTCATACTATTTTTATCAAAGGATATTAAGATAGATGTACATTAC